AGGGGGGGGGGGGTGGGGGGGGGGGGGGTTGAGTGGGCAGCCGCTACTGGCTTCACCATGACGAAGGGTTGATATTTTTCATCCGTACCAAACCACTTCAGCTAGCGATGCAGCAGCAGTCACGTAGGGTTACCAAACCACTTCAGCTAGAGATGCAGCAGCAGTTACATAGAGACTTGAATTGAAGCCACTTTAGCGGGGAGAGCACGCGGTAATCAGATTGTAGTCGCCCAATGCTTCGGGAGGTGCCACTCGCTTTGTTTTTGTCGAGGGTCACCGGCACGCGCCTGCATACCAGCATACATTCACTCCTCAGCAGAAGGAGCCGCGGTGCCGCCAAAATGGCGACGTGAGAACCGCCGTCTCGTCGAGAGATTTCCAACAATTTGATATCGGCATCCTCTTCATCGTGTGGAGAAGTCGAGCTTTGAAAATCGGTCCAGGGTGTGTGTGTGATATCTAACGTCACCTATGAGTATCTACGTACATCACATGCATTACTAAATATCACCTTGATGTTGACCCCGTCCAAGAAGACGCCGCCTTGGTCAGGGTCGTAGAACCGCTCCAGCAGCCCCACCACCGTAGACTTACCAGCGCCTGATGCCCCGACCTGTTCTCGCCGGGCCAAGAGAAATCGGGATCTACCGTTAGGCTGTACCTGTTGGGCTAGAGCTGGGGGGTCGTTGATCTGACGAAGTGGGACCAGCGGCTGTGTGAGTCTTCGTCTTCATGTTTAGAGATATAGAGTGAAAATCATCAGAACGCCCAACACAAAGTTGTTTTTACTGGACTTTCCACTGCAGCACTCAAATTCTTGGCTGCATGCATTGACGTCATGCTCTTTATAAGAGACCCGCTAAAAAAACGCCCCCTTTTACATGTCATGCCCGCGCTCGTCAATTGCACCGAGGAGGATCGGTATTTTCGATCATCAACATACCGAGGAAAGCGAACATTTGGCAAAACAGGAATCGCGTCTTTACAGTACAGGGTGATATGAGGCTGGTAGAGGCTCGTTCTTAACGCGATCGCGTAAATAGACTACTTTAAACCAGTCGCGTCACACAAGAACAAACAAACTCACTAGCACCCAAAAATAATCAAACACACACAAGGCATAAGGCATTGTAGCGGACTGTTCGTCTCCAGGAGCGGCACTCACGAGAGCCACGGTGGTGCCAGGCTCGACCTTGAGGTTGAGGTCGGTGAAGACCTTCTCCTTCGGGCGGGAAGGGTACGTGAAGTGCACGTCCCTGCCAACGACACATGGTGGCGGCGCGCAGCAAGCACACAAAAGTTGAGTTAACGGCGGTGTACAGCAGCACAAAGTACTGCCCATGACGGTTGTCGACAAATGTTTTCGTTTGCTGAATATAAGCAAACAGCAGGTTCCTCCGATGCCGTGAGAACCCAAGCGACGATAAACACAGCACGGAAGCATCATGACCGCCAGGTGGATCGATTCGTCTCTCTGTCGGTCGGAGTGGCTCCCCAAGAGAGTGGCTGCCAATTTCCCTCTGTCACTGAGCTCGTTGTACGGACGTTAGCCAGCTGCTGCCCCGCATCCTTTGTTGAGGCGAGGAGAGCCTCGCCTCCTTCCGAGCTATATAAAACTGGCCGCCTCGCTCTCGGCAGCCACGCTTTATCTATCTGTCTGCATGCTTGTCTGTCCCTGCTTGTCTGTCTGCCTGCTTGTCTGTCTGTCTGCCTGCCCGCGTGTCTGTACGCCTGCCTGTCTGCCGGCCTGTCTCTGTCCCTCTATCTGTCTGCCTGTCTGTCTGCCTGTCTCTCCTCCCCCTCCTCTCTCTCTCACCGGAGCTCCACCTGCCCCACCACCGAGTCCGGGTGTGGCTTCAGCCCCTTCTCCGAGCAAGCGTCGATCGAAGACTCGCGACGGCAGACGGCGAGAAGGTGCCCGGCCGCGCCGCGTGCCTCCGTCACAGCCTGGAGGTTTGGACCCATCTGGCCGATAGACTGTACAAGACCGCCAAAGGGGAGGGGGGGGGCGGGGGGGGGGAGTACCTCATCTGTTGCTTGCCCTGATTCACCGCCGATCTCGTTCGAGAAGAAGCCGCAAACTGTCTGCTCTTTCTTCGAACGAGCATCACCTGGTCGCTTCGTTATTTGTGTCCCACAAGCTTGTCGATTGGAGAGATGGAAAAAAAGATGTATGGCCAACTGCTGAAGCAGTGAAATAGCCAAGGGGGGCGGGGGGGGCACTACATTATACGGCACTAAACCCTGGCGCGGGTAAACGCTTAACCCTAACGAAAAAACTGCAGTGTCCATGAAAACCTGCTCGGGGTGAGGACTACCAGCGGCACAACAAATACAGTAACGATTGCTCAAATATCCTCACAAAATGATTCAGACATGAAGGCGGTGCTGCTCACCATAGCACCGTTAAGGATGGCCCAGAAGACTGTCAAGACATCGCCGCCGGTCTTACAGTGGCTCCCGGTGCAGCCATCCCGCAGGTCGCGGGCTACTTCTGAGGCACCGTACCACATGCCGAGGCCGTAGGAGCAGAAGATGATGAACATCATCACTGCCAGTGCTTTCGCGAATCTGACGCACACAGCGGGAGAGGGAAAGGGAGAGGGTCGGGGGAGAGAGAGAGAGAGAGAGAGAGAGAGAGAGAGAGAGAGAGAGAGAGAGAGGCAGGGAGACAGATGGAGGGCAACAGCAGAGAAAATATTAAGCGCAGGAAGAAGCAAAGCATGGCTCGTGAGTGTTGGTGAGGGAGAAGGAACAACCTTGAATGCGGCGCCTTCGCCTTGCCCTGCGCCAGACTCGATAGTATACAACATAGACAAACATACACGGTTTCTGGAGACTTCTTTCTTTCCACCTTTTCTCGTAAAGAGGAGAAACATTTGGAAATAACACAACACACATGCACCAGATCAGGGCAGTTAAACCTGCTCTCCGGCCATTCTGGTAGCATACTTTTGACACTGGACAGAGGTGGCCGCCGTTGATCGGGTCATGTTGCATGAGGTGTTCGGAGCTGGTAGACAGTAACCCTTTCGCACATCCAGTAGCTCTGGCCTCTCTCAGTCCTACCCAACGCAGAAATGTCAAAACCAAGTCCCTACTTTGCGACTGCTGTGGATTGGACAAGACTACAACAGGGGGGGGGGGGGGGTTGAGGAATGCCTTACTAGTCTCCTTACCCGATGCCCGACTTGATGGAGGTCTCCATGGCCTCCTCCACCTTCTTCTCGTAGCGCTTGCTCTCCTTATCCTCGCCCGTGAACGCCACCACGGTCCGGATAGACGAGATCGCCTCCTGCGGTGTGACATACATATATTGACAGCAACGTCAACGTCAACGGACACCCAAGCTAGCGTTACGCCAGAGCTCACAACACCCACACACGACTGACGTCGTTCATTGGTCAGCCGGTTGGTGTGGTCGATAATAAGTACACAAACATCACACACATTGATAGACTTAGTTCCCAGACCAGACCACTCGTCCATCAGACCCGCATCGAGTCAAGAGAGATCCAACTATCCCCCGTCTCCCTCCCGCCTATAAATACACGAGGAACCCCCTCGTATTCGCAGCGTCCGTCAGGATCAGGAATAGTCCGTGCCTCATCTCGCATGACGGTCGATCGTCAACTGCCCGAAAAAAATGTGAGGGCACCAAACAGACAAGAGCGAGCCCGCCCCCCCCCCGCCCTGCGCCTGCCAGCCCTCCCCTTCGGTTCCACACCAAACACCAACCTCGGCCACTCCCCCGGCCGCGGCGTTGCTCTTCTGGAACTGCGACGCCAGGCGCGCCAGGTCTCCGAACAGGAACCCGCCGGCTATCGCCAACGGGGGGACGACGGACAGCATCACCTGCGAGGGAGGTGCGGGGACCGGGGCGAACGTCACGGAGGGGAGGGGTCTCTACTTCAGACGAGCGCGGTGACGGCTTCGGTGCTACTTCATGGCATCGCCTTTGCAGGCGAGGGCTTGCGCGTTGGGAAAAACTGTGAGCCTGAATCGGATGACAGCTTGCAATGACTGTTTTCATGCTTGCCGACGAGGCTAGTACCTGCCGTCGAATAAGTCCCGACCAAAGGCTGGAGGGGGGGTGCGAATCGCCCGACCAACACAGCAACATAACCGTCACGTTACAAGCTGTCGTTTCGCTCTAGACAGCTACTAGTGCAGGCTGGACGCGGCACCTACAAATCACACACACACACACAACAATAACGCATCCAACTTAACATCCCCAAAGGACATGACATGACAAGAAGCAACTAGCATAGACGGGCGCAGCACCCACCAGAGAGAGCTCCCACCCCTTCACGAAGCCGATGGTGAAGCCGGACACGAACATCGACATGAACTGGATGAGACGCGCCAGCTGTTTGCCCCGAGGGAGGAGGGAGGGAGAGGGGGGAGGGCGGGAGATCTTGAAAACTTCAAAACGATCGTTCACAAGACACAAGGAGTCGCTCTCGAAAGCATGTCACTAACCTCAACCACGTATACGCGCAACCCTCGCGACAAGCGGGGGGTAGCGATGGTGTGTGTGTGTGTGTCACGGTGCCCCCGTAATGTCACAAAAGCCGAACAATCAAACGAAGGAAAAAAAAAGAAACGTAAGGAACACCATAACATCTTCTTGCATACGGCAAACGATTCCGACCTTGATTCCCATGCCCTGGCTAACGACTAGCGTGTCCCCCTTGATCCGTGTGGTCAGCTCCCCCGGCTTGGTCGTGTCGAACCTGTCATCGCCAAACCAAAACACACGCATAGGCAGCAGTAGGTTAAGAGAGAGAGGGTGGCGAGAAGGTAGCGTACACAACACTTGAGAGAGGCACGCACCGCCTACACAGCAGTGGAGTTGGAGAGGAGTGACCGACAAAAAAACAGTGATGACCACACCGACACGAGGGAGCAAAGCACAAAAGAGGGCGACAGGGCCAACGTTTCATCTCGTTTCATCGAGTAAAAGTCGATCCACGACCAACGCACGATCGGGTCACCAGCATGGAATTTCGACCTAGATATGTACGGCGACCACACGCGCACGTGGGTATGCAAGGAAAGTACCGATGCATTGCAGCGTGCTATGTCTCATATGTGGAAACGTCTATTCCTCTGGTCCAACTCACCATCCAATCTCCTGCCGCAGGGACGATAGAAGGTACTGCATCCGCATGCGCCGTACCTGCCAGACACGTTACCGAAAAAGAACGCAGCATATCGTAACAACGGGGCGAAGGAGGGATGTGGAGGAGGAGGTATTGTAGGGGCGGAAGGGAACCTGTGCAGGGTACGCCGCACACTCGACACGCCGTAGATCCTTCCAAGACCCCAACGGACTTTGCCCAATCCCATGGAAATGATTACGTGTGGCAGACAAACGTCCCTCCTGCCAGAGTAGAAGTTGGCATGCTGACAAAGCTCGTGAATCGTCTCAGAGCAATCAACCGTTGGGCACAGACGCAGGATGCCCACAGCACGCGGCGGCAGCACGGGCACCTAGCCGCCCAGACGCTTTCCAAACAGAGAAGCTTAGGGTGTGTGTGTGTGTGGGAGGGTACCCACCTGTCTCTCTGCTGCCACGGAGAAAAACGTGTTGAGGCCGGTGTTGAGCACAAAGGCAACAACGGCTAGGGTGAAAAAGTTTAGCGCGTTCCGGTTGACCTGTGATCAAGGCAAAGGGTAAAAAGAGGAGGAGAGGTAGTGGGCACAAAACACCAAAAAAGGAAATGGTCATCCGACGAGGGCAAACATCCATTTCGAGCGACAGCGAGCGAGAAAACAAACTTGAGCATGAGGATGTACCACGCAAAATGCACAAATAGCCAGGTACCACTACCAATACAGCCGTATAGGCTACCATGCATTTTGACGTAACCCATGCATCATGGCCATCAATGCTAGCAAGGACCATGTGTACCTCAGAGGTGGGGTTGGGGCTGTGGAAAGCGTCCAGGATGTCTCCAAAAATGATGGAGAAGATCGGCATCACCACTCCCGCGCCGGCTGCGCACAACGTCCCCACGAACATCAGCAGGTAGTCCAACTGCAGCAGGCGAGGCGGTAACGATGTTGGTCCCAGTTTAACGGCAGCAGTAGATCCAATCCAACACCTCTGTAAGCATACTCAGAGAAATCGGTACAAAAAATGCTGCACAACCAGCACACAGCTGATAAGATGACAAGATGGTCTGGTGTTTCCGTAAGTGACGGCGTTTCGCGGTCCTGTATGCATACTACTGTACGCAGACAACCTCGGCCCAAAAGAAAGAATAAAATTACCCAAGACGAGGTTCTTGTCACCCCTTGAGGGAGGAATCGGTTGCGCACAGGGTATGCGCGCAACACATTCCTGTCATCCGAAACCTAAAAACTTCGGCCCAGGCGTTGCCCATGCACGCACGTAAAAGCCGGTTATGAGACAGGAGCACTTGCGAAAAAGAACGCCATGCAGAGAAACCTCGTTTGTGTCAATCGAGTGTTTGGCTCTGTGGGTCCATCATACTTGCATAAACAACGATCGATGTCGTCACGGAAGACGTTCGCGTCAGTTGGACCAGTCCGGATGACTGAGGATGGACCGTGAGCAGAGATCGGCCGGTTTTAGACAAGGGGAAACACGAAACCCGTTGCGGTGGGAGCCCAGACAGCGGGAGGGTCGACAGTCTCACGCCGTCAAGACCAGCAGCCACCAAAAGATGTGACCCAGCGCTCTGTTCGGTGGGCTGCTGATCTTCCATGCACCCACTCCCACGGTGGATCGGGCTTTCAGGACGCGGGGTGGACGTGGGGACAAGGTTAAGGGACCTAGATCGGAAAAAGATCGCCCCGAATGGCTCTTTACGTGTGTGTCGCTAGGGCAGGGATCCTTTCCCACGCGTCTGCTGCTGCTGCTGCTGCTGTTGCGAAGGCTCTGCTGGCTGTGGAAAGAGGCTGGTGCGGTCGTGTGGGATTCAGCAGTGTTCAGGGTTCAGGGACTACATATTGTGGTACCGTGCTTTCAAAATATGTGTTGATCTAATGGACAAAACGCTGGTAAAAAACAGAGGAAGCCCGCAGGCAAAGAATAGGCACGTGCTCGGCCAGTGGCCGCTGGCGTGGGGCGATATCATAGAGACACCAGTCCGTCGCCAGTCGCCAGAGCGACAGCAAGAGGTCATACTCCCAAACTCAAGTTCTGTCTCGTTTGAAAATATTGCTGCTGGTGATGTGTAGAAGTACAACAATACTGCCTGCTGTCGATCACCGAAGGTCCGAGCGCCGGGAGTTGTTGGGCGAGGATAGTGAAGTATCGCGCGTCTACGGGGGCAGACCTAGTTGGGGGATACCAAAATGCAGAGATCATATGATCATATCGGCAGGGGATGGTGACAGGCTGGATTGGACACGTGCTTCGTCCTCCCACCATTTTTGAGGGTGGGGTTGAAAGGAAACAGCCGTTTCCACATTATCATTAGTTTACCATTTGCACACGCGGCCGGGGACAAAGCAGCAGTGCTTCATCACCGGTACAAGGACTACAAGTTTCGAGCGCGTTGCCTCCTTGAACTGCTGTGCTTCCCAGCCTCTCACACGATGCAGGCAACAACGCCATGTGTAGTGTATCATCGTCACTCGCCGTCCGATTTCGTGGCTTCAACTGACGATTCGAATCCCCAATTCATGATCTCATGCATACCACGCACGGGGTCCACGCCTACGTATTGTCTTGGCGTGAAACGACGACCTCGCGCCACGCACCTTCTCAGCAAAGAAGAAGAGATCGAGGAACGGCGATGGCGCCTCGGGCTTCGTGAACGTTGGTCCGTCCTCGCTGTCGCCATCTCTGTCGCCTTCGTTGTCTTTCTGAAGCCCGGCCAGAAGGGGGACCGTGAGCAGACCCTCCTCCACATCGCCAACCTTGCGCTCCTCGTTCCCGTTTAAGCTGGAGCTCTTGTAGCTCGCGCTGCTTCCTCTCTGAGCCCGTGAGCCAGGCATGTCCCTTCGTTTCGCTTCCCCCCCGTCCCCTTTCTCTCTCGGGGTCCGTTATGAACAAGATGCGGTGCAGGGTGCGCTTTCCCATTGCTGCATTTCCCTCTCGAGGGGGAGCCGTGGATTTGGGTTTTGAAAACGAAAGGTACCCGCACACCCCAGAACCCACCTGCGGGTTCATCATGTTCCCCCAGCACACACACACCTCCCTCAACGATTCAGGTGTGTGCTATCTTTTCGGCTCCGAGAGTTACGGCCATTGCGGTACTAGAGTGCGGCACGTGCGGGACGGCGAGAGACGGAACTCACTTTTTGGCTCATTCAGTAGTGTCGTCTGTCGCAGTTTGAACCGTTGAATACAAGCCAAGCAGCAAGTGAGAGAGCCAGTGCCAGTCCGTTCCCTCGAGCCGATCGGCGCCTCCACACCAAGTCCCACCCTCTTGGCTTGCTGCACTACAGTACTCATATTCTGAAGCTTACAGGTGGATCAAGACGTCAACGGCAACCATCGGGCTTACCCGAAACCCGTCGCTTGAATGTCCGCTGCGGCCATGAACCGTGAGGTAGGCGGCTTGAGATCGTCCTCATCACTGCTCGCCCTTGTCACCGCTACAAGCCCGACTTCGCATCTGTCGCCCCATCCTCTGCGAGGGCCAGTGCCAGCGAAGAGTGAAAATAGGACTGCGTGCAACTTTGAACTTTTTTCCCGTGCCACCGGCTCCCTGGTGGAAGCGAACGGCAGCGGCCACCCCAGTTGCAGCTCACGGTCAGTAGCATCAGGACTTCGCGCCGCGCAAGCTGTGACAGGAGGCTGTGCGAGAGCAAAGAGAAGGGGCCGTCATCGCCCAGCGAAAAGGCGACTGGCGAGCTTCGTTGCGCCGGCGCTCGTGTGGTGCGTACTTCCTCTCTAATTATGTTTCTACAGGGTTTCACTGAAGGCTCGGGTTGATTCTTGCGTTCAGGCGCCCTGCTCTGTCTTGTTCTATTTCAATCGATCAATGCTTACAAGCCCCACTTCCATGTATCCTCTGCTCTTGTTGTTCTTCGTATGGTCCACGGCCCCCGTTTTGACGGTATGCTCTTCACCAAGGATCTTCGCTTTAGAGGCCGAGTACTTTCTGTGGTGGAGAGGGGGGTGTGCTGCACCAATAGAAAGGCCGTCTTGGTGCACCATCCCGGCGCTGGGTGAGCTTTTTTCGGTGTATATTCGAATGATGATGGGTACAGCAGTAGTAGGTTTTTCACGGGTAGGCTGTGTGTTCTCGTAATATGCCGCGACCTGTCTGTCTTTCCCTTCATCCCAGAAAGAGGACATGCCTCTCAAAAAAATACGGAGTATTGACTTGGATTGGTATGGATTATTTGTTTTTTCACCTTTGGCAGACGGAGTATGGTTTGTTTGTTTACTTTCCTGGTTTTGACAGGGCGTAACGGCATCTTCCGAAAACGCGATGCAATGTACCAAACTTGATTTGCGAGTTGTTAATTGACGGGTGACCAAAATGACCCGTCTGTTCGACGTTCGGCTCGGCGCGCCACACCCGACCGCATGCCGTTGATATTGCGAGCGTGCAATGAGCCCCCGCAACGAACTTTTGCTCATTCTTTTCTCTGTTTTTTCCGCGTGAAATCAACCAGGTAGCGTCGTCAAGGTTGTTCACGCTTACGGCTGGCATTTTGTTTGCTTTCACGTTCTCCTTTGCCTGGCGCTACTTTCCCACGTCGCTGCCACGGTGAGAGACTTTTATTTTATTATTTTCTTGGATTGATTGCCGTCGCGGACGGCGCAAGAGACGAAGTTCGTCGTTTACCTACGTGCTTGTCTTTCCACTCTGTCCGTCGAAACTCCGATGCAAGTTGCTTCTGTTACTGTAGCTGTACCATCTACACCCAGCTGGAACCTGCTCCGTAGCACCAGCCATTTCTTGTGGGTTGATAGTCCTGAACATTTCACCTCTGCGCGTTTGGCACACCCCGTACAACCGCACGAGACAATAAATAGCTTGTGCCTAGAGCTGCGGACCATGACCGGCAACTTCGATTACAGTGTCACGTGCTCCCTCCACCCCCCCCCATCGTACATAGTTTCGCTGTGAATGCAGATCTTCGTACACACGGCGCAGTGTATTGCGGGTACTTCCACTAGGGTAGTTTTATTAGGTTCAGGTTTGTGATCGTGTTGAACACACAGATGTCGAAAACACCATCTCAAGGCGTGGAAGCAAGAGGGCAAAGGGGGTGTTTGACAGGCGTTGAAATCAGCAGTATTTCACTTACATGCCCAAATGCTATTATGCTGCTACCCACCCGCGACATGTCCCTGTCCGTTTTGCGTGTGCACAGGTAACGGACCCCGGGTTCTTTTCGCGGGGAAGCCATCTGCTAGGTCGTGCTCAAGAGCGAGGTTCGGGGCGTTGGTGCAGCCACTGCGAAGCGTACAAACCGCCGAGGTTGGACAATCACGGACTACTTCACCATCAATAGTCCATAGCGGTGTCGCAAATGCAATGGAGATGAAGCCTACAGAGAGAGCAAACATGGGGACAGCAACCTACACGGTGATACATGTAGACTATGTCATACTCGATGGTAGCACGGCAGTGTCCACGGATGTGCTGCACGATGTGGCGAGCACCCGGTCATCCGGATAAACATCCAGACGTGTCCGACAACTGCTTTGGGAGATTTCTAACGATCCGCGCCTGTTTTCCCAACCCCTCTTGTCGCCCCCACCTCCCAAAATCAACCAAAGGGCGCACCACTGCCGACGGTGCGGGGCATGCGTGGCCAGGATGGACCACCACTGCGCTTTCGTGGCAAACTGTGTCGGGGCGGGCAACCACAAGCAGATGCTCCTCTTCCTGGTGTACTCGGCCGCCTGCGCGGTACACGCGGCCTTTTTGTTTTGCCGCCTGTGCAATGCCTTCTTGATGGCCGTCCTGCTAGTCGGCATCTTTAGCTGGCTTGTTTGTCTAATTAGTTCGCAGGTGCACGGAATCCGTGTTCATGCCGGCACCGTCGATCGGATGCAGGCTGCCGCGCCGGGGTATCGCGCGGCAGGACAGGCGGGGGCGCTGGGTGCTGCTCCGCCGGATTCCCGGCGGCAAGACGGTTGGCCTGGGTTGCTGCCAACGCGAAGAGAGTGTCCTCCTGGCCATTTACCTCTCCCTGGCGATGGCCGCGTTACCCCTGTGCTAGACGAGGATGCTACGTCGAGTACGGGACAAGAATTGACACAAGGAGCGCGGCGTCCTGCTTCTGCCTCTAGCGGTGGCTTTGAGGTAGCCGTGAGCTTGCCGCGTGCTACTCCTGGCGCAGTAGCTGGTGACGCCGCAAGTGGAGGGCTGGGACTCAGATTCCGTGTTATTCGGGGTTTGTGGGAAACTGTGCACCAGGAGATACTGGGCGAGGGGGCGTGGGTTTTGTGGTTTGTGCCGACACCAGCGAGACTGTCCCCCGAATTAGAGCAACGTGTCTACGCGCCACATGGAAAAGCGGGGAGAGCGCAATAACCAACTAGCGCAGTTTATTGGACAACCGTCTGTTCGCGGTCTAATTTGAGGGAAGAAGCGTGATGGTACCTTTCGTCCAGAGATCAGTCTGGAGATATGGGCAAGAAAGAGAGCACAAGTGCGATGCGTGTGCACGCTGGGTGCACGCGGACAAGCCTTGTTCGGGTGTCATTCGTCAGCGCCTCCTACGAACATATCGTCAATCGGACGCCGACGGCGTTTCCGAACAACATATGGTTTGATTCTATCCAGTATGGGAGTCTCTTCCATGAATCACCGGTAGCCAGGTCTGTTGGACGTGAGCTGGGCATTCGCTAAAAGAATCGGTGGACTGGCCGTGATATGTCAGCTAATGAACGCTCCTGGTCGCAACCAATGCACCGCACGTACGTGCACGATGGTTCAAAACGAGTGTGGGGTTCGGGGTCGGCACTGCTGCGCGTGTTGCAGGGAAGGTGGCTATTGAATACTTGCTGCGCGCCACGCAAGCGCCAGGAAAACAAACGGGAAACAAAACGGCCAGGGACGAAAAAGGAGTTGAAGGGATGAACAAACTGCAACCGCCCGGACATATTTCGAAGGAGCCAGTCCGCCGTACGTTTTTTTACCCACGGAAGGCCGAACGTTGCGACCCTTTCGAAACAGGTGCCTGAACCAGCACCGGACATGTTCATGCATAGTCTCGAAGATCATTTTGATAACAACCCATGATGCAATCGTCGATAAGACCCGATTTGCGGCCAGCAGTTCGCCACGAGCAACCCCTATAAAATTGGGGACATGACTCTCATCCCCGAGATCTCAGGCAAACCAAGGCCCACAAACGCAGACCAAGCGCAAGTTCTACGCGTGCTCCGAGTCACTTTTCGTGCACAGCGTGGCTTTATATAATCGGACACGAACGACCGGCTTCTTGGCCGGCAAGGTATCCAGCCTTGACGCTAGGCTGCTGGCTGCTGCAGAGCCTCCTCGAGCCTGGCGAGAAGCTCGGCTTTGTTACCAGACACACGGAGCCCCCTGCCCTTGAGCTCGACCTTGAGGTCGGTAACCTGGCGTTTCGAGAGGAAAATAAACGGCATTTGTTTTCGGTCGGGCGTGCAATCTTTCCAATGGTACAAGGATGACCACCCCCAACAAGTCGAGCTGTTTCCCATGGTATCAAAGGTTTCGCCTACCAAAGAGAAGGAAGGGCCGTTCACATGGAAATCGTTGCTGCTTGCATGCGAACCAAAGATTTTCGGTGCCTGCAACGGATGCAGACAACTGCATGGCACACAAGGACGGCGACTTTAGATGCACAGTGACTACATACTGTAACGAGGTTAGGGAGCCGCCCGACTACCCCCCCCTCTACCACTGTACGCGGAATACACCACTCTTAATGCTGAAATGGGAAGGTGGACATCAATTCTTGCTTGCTCTCCTCACCTTCATAGCCTTGAACCCCTCGAGTACCAGCTGCGCCTTGTTTGTGTCCTCCTCCCCTTGCTCAGAGATATCACCTCGTACCGCCTCGTCAGCGATTTCGGCGACGGTTTCGTCTGCTTCGGATCTGCCGTCTTCGGACGTTCGATCGTCTCCGTCGACTCCGGATACCGGTGAATCCCCAACTGCTCCTGTGACGTCTACCGACGTTGTTGCTGCCCCCGCCTCTCCATTTGTTTTGACTTCACCGGAACTAATGGCGCCAGCAAGCAAGACGTCGTCTGCCAGAAGGTCGAGATCACTGTCGCTAGCAAGCTCTTCCGTCTCGACCGCGAACCGTTGCCGCAGTTCCTCCAAGAAATCAGCTCCGGCTTCCTCCTCTCCATCCGCGGCCTTGCTTCCCCCCTTTCCCGACTTCCCCTGCGCGACGCCCCCACCCCCGCCGCCGCCGCCGTGGAGTGCCCCGCGAGACACCTTCTTAACGGCCCGCGATTTGCGAGAAGAGGAATCACCATCACCCCGCAATGTTGTCGCAACGACGTCCTCGGCCTTGGTTCGCTCCTGAACGCGCGATCGGTCGTTTTTGCGACCACCTCCACTTCGGCCGCCGCCGCCGCCCGAGATCTTGGCTTGGATGTACTCCACGCGCCGCTTCGTGACGGGCAGGCCCCTGCGGGCAGGAATCGGAGCAAATTCCGTGCGGGTTGTGGAGGGTCGAGAGAGGCGGTGGTATCTCAAACGAAGCCGAACACTCCAAGTCGATAGTGTTCAGGGAAGAGAACTAGCTGCAATTTGTTCGACAGCCTGTCTCTGCAAAACGCCCGCTGCCGGCGTGGTGGACAAACACCAGTAGGAACGCTGGTGCAGAGGCCACCGCACATCGACCCGCCCACCCACCTACCTCGCACGCATTTCTCGGAACAGGTCCATGGCGCAGCCAAGATCCCTCGCGATCGACGCCGCGTCCACGGCAATGTGATAGGTAACCTGTTTCGCCACAGGGAGTGCAACCCAAAACACGGCCCGTGAACAAGTTGTTGCGAAGAAGAAAGATGGCAGGACCGCGAAGGACGGCCCAGGATGTTTTGACAACTTTACGGGGTTTACCGGCGAGCGGTCAAGTTCGACACCAGAGATGCACCCAACTTGCCAAGCTCGAGTTTTCCACGCTGTCCAGAGACTCATTCACGATTGTCCCGATTCGCCGAAAGTGCCAAGTAAACGCGTCGGCGGCGTGTCACTGTCACCGGATCTTACGCGCGCCTCTTCGCAATGCAGCCGAGACACCGAAGACGACAGCACAGCACAGAACGAATCGAAACCGAATCGCCCATGCCATTTGTGATGCGAAGAACATACATAAACGAGTTACCTCATCTGCCTCGACGCCCTCTCTGTGCATCTCTTCCAGGAGGCTCAATACCTGCGGGTATGCGCACAACGCCGGTCACGGACAGGGCCAGGCCAAAGAAATTGAGAGCGCGGCTCAAAGTTATGCAACAGCAGCAATACTTTGGGGTCGTGGGGAAAAAAATTGCGCAATGGCCGTTTTTGCGAAAAACCATCTTGGCTGAACCGCGGCCATGCACATACTCTCCCCACGTACATAACAGAAGGATCATCCATCTCCACAGTACTGTATATGATCACCTTGAAAGCACGTCCATGTGTAAGGAATGCGAGGCGCAGGAAAACATCATAACGTCAACCGGAAACGACGAATACGCCTCCTTGGGTAGAACACAAACAAGCTCGGAAATGGTAATAACTCTCCCGACTCAACTCGACCCGACTCACATCCGGCAGACGACCAGCCTTGCCCAGAGCGAACATGGCCGCGCTGTAGCTGATACGGTTTGGCGTCACTCCCTGACCACGCATCTCGTTTAGTAGCCACTCCGCCTGCCTATCGTTCCCGGACCTTCCACACGCCGCCATGGCGTAGTTGTAAGTGATTGCCTTGGTTGGAGGGGTGGGTGGGTGGGGAGGGAGGGGACTCTTATGTTTTGCATGCTTTAGCAGTTAGACCATTGACCAGGTTGAAGAGGGGTGTGTGTGCTAAAATCAAAAACATGAAATATCTGTTATTCGCGTGAACTCGAAGGATGTACATACCTATCTCATACTTACGTGCGTGCTTTCATCGTTGACCACGCATCCCTCTCGACATGGAGCACCATTCCTGGTCGTCCTAAATCTCAATACTTGCTCGATGGGCCATTTCTTAAATGTGTGTGGGAATAGTTAAAATGTCAGAGTTGAACCACGCCACGGCGGCGTACTGCTGTCGCGAAAAAGCACCTCGGGAGCGATTCCCTCCTTGGACATGGTCTCGAGCCACTCGAGCGCCTTGTCCCCGTCCCCGTTCCTGGAACATGCCACGATCGCTCCCGTGTAACTCGTCGCGTCCCGTACCACGCCTGTTTTATTGGAGGGGCGGGTGGTCATTGTGCGGTCGTCAAGAGAACGAACGAGAGAACGCGAATACAGAGGCAAGAAAACACTCATAGGCACGCCCATACGAACTGACCTTCGCACCAGTGTAGTCTGCAACAGACTCGCCCCCTTGAAGGAAAACATGCAACATCAGACAGAAAAAATAGTATGGAGATAAAACAGAGATGTTAATTAAATATCCACCACGCAAAATGTCGACACCGTCGGCTTAGACTACCAGGAGACAGCGAGTGATTGCACCCGCCCTAGACCGGCTTTCGCATCTCGATTACTCCTTAACAAAGAGGGTGCCACTGCCGGAAAAGGGTGGGCTTGAAAGATCTCTTGCTTGGACGTATCGGTTGATCGGTTTCGATAGCACCCTCTTGATTGCGTAGCAATTGAATGCCACGAAAGTCGGTCTAGTGGGGGTGCGATCACTCCCCGTCTCACGGCATTAGTCGCAGGGTCACTGTGTGACGCAGCCCAACGAACATCATCCGTTTGTCCACCTGGTGAAACACGATCGCACGCCACAGTCACCTCCGAGACTTTAGCCAAGAGACCACACCGCCATGGCGACAACACAAAGACTCCACACGAAATTTCCGGAGAAACGAAATTCCCTCTCTGATCGTCTTGTGGTCACCGGTCTCTCCCATCTTCCGGAGGAGCTTCTCGGCCACCTTGGGCTTTCCCGCGCGGCCGCAGGCATCGAGCGCCGAATTGTACACCACTGTGTTGGGCTCCACACCCGCCTCCTGCATCTCCTGCCGTGCCCCAACCCCGGTTCCAATTCACAGGGATGAAAACAAGAAGCGAGAACCAAGGGGCGGGCAAACGTCGGAACAAGCCGAAGAATGTTAGGTTGGTCGATAGCCAATATCCCGGTCGGCAAGTGCCAAGAACGAGGTCGAGGAATTGCGTCCACGCGGCCTGGCTAGTCGGTCTCTCGATGCCCGCCTCCTGTCATGCGCCTTTTCTCCTACAGGCAGTAGGCCGCAAGTAAGAATCGGGCGCCAGGCTCAACTTCTCATTTCGTCGCCACTGTCGAGCACAGATTATTATTAAGATATTAGTGTAGGTTCCACCGATGAAGCTGTGTTTCTTAACTTTATTATTGTTTGCGAAAAATTGAGCCGGTGTTTCATAACGGAACGCATGATTTTTGCGGGCCCGTACCGTACAACTACAGTCAAGGTTCTGTACTACGTTTCTTATCGCAGCCCATAAAAAAACACTATTAGCAAAATCGAAGGCACGCCAACATGCCGGTTGAATCTGCGTGCGCCTAAGCCGTGCAAAAAAATCCGTTGGTATTCTCTGAGTGACAGTCACCGCTATCGCAAACTGGTCGTTGGGAAAGCTCGTGCCGTCCCATTGCGATCAAGTAAGCGCGAGTTCAACCTTGAAGACGAAACCCATCGACGAGAGGTGCCGCCATTGTCTCGCTTGTCAATAAATCTGGCAACATATGGGGTCGAGAACAACAGGCTCCTTGCAATAGAACCGCTTCATATTGATAGCACTCTTGAACGGTGACGAAATCCGTTGCTACCTCTTGGTGAACTTCAGCTCTACCAGTAACCGAAGACGGAGGGACCGTACGACCTACACGCAAGAAACACGGCCCGCTGCAGAATCAACTTTGACGCACCAACCGCCGTCCGCGTCTCAGAAATGTTTACTTTGATGTCCACACCGCACCTTGAGTAGCTTCAGCGCCCCCTTGACGTCTCCAGCTTTGGCGCAAGCGCTCACAGCAGTCCCGTAGCTGACCACGTCCATGCCTATGCCGCGGCTCTTCATCTCGTCGGAGAGGGAGGCCGTGTTCCGAGGGTCCCCCGCTGCCGCGAACCCCTGGTAAAAAAAGAAAGCTGAGCCGTGAATGGTGATAAACACAAAAGGTGGGGGTGCACTCATAGTCGTGTATGCCGTAGTCGTTAGACCATTGACCTCGCATCCCTACAAAGCCGGGACAGAGCACGCCGGGTTCTCACCGGACCAGGCTCTCACATCACCAAGCGCGAAGCGCCGTGAGGTATTCGGCGAGTCGCATGAAGGGTGCGCTGCCTCCTGCTAAGGGTGTTCAGCATTTTGTGCTTACTTCCTTGCATACGGATGACAGCTGCGCATGACATATTTTAATTATCTGGGGCTTTCACTTCCAGAGACAGTTATAAGCACTGTGTAACTGCCTCGAGGGTGCTTGACTAATTGAACACAACGTGGTACGATTATCCCTTTTGCGCGGAGTGAGGGTTCTCGACCCCGCACAACATGATCTACTCGACCACTATGCATGGTTACTGCACAAAAACAAAAAAACAAAACAAGGCCAAAAAACTCAGGTAACCTGGTTGCCGAGCTCATGAAGTGATCGCCCTGTTTATCAACATCATTGAAAAGCGACGAAAACAAACCCAACCCCGACGGCAAACACCGGGGGGGAGGGCGTTAAAAAGAGCACCGAAGGAGGGGCTCGAACCCTCGACCACAAGATTAAGAGTCTTGCGCTCTACCGACTGAGCTACTCCGGCTGTTGCTTGACAGTCGGGGGCAGGGGGACCTAATAAATGGAAGAAGTTTACCGAATAATAGTGGTGAAAAAAGGGAGACTGCAGAAAACGGGAAAAAATCGGGGAAAAAAAGAAGCAAAACCAACGAGACGAGAGGACAACCTTCGAAACGAGAAGAAATCGACCAAAACCATAAAAAAAAAATCGACATACGACAGAGTGCGTGATGATGCCAGGTCCCCATCCAGCCGGAAGTTGTGTGTTTGGTAGATGCCTTGTAACGAAAAAGTGCAAAAGTTGCACAACAAATAGCAGGTTCGGGTGGGGTGACCTCATGTCGAGGCACCGCTGACACTCAGGAAACCACCACAAAAGAGACGAATAAGACAGAAAAACAAGGCGAAAAACGAGAATAATAATAAGGCCAGCAAAGGCAAGGAAAGAGAGGAAAGCACGCAAGGCGAAAGACATTGATCGACGGCCTGCTTTCGGCCGTGGTGTGCGGGCTTCTCCGAACAAGACGCAGCAGCTGCACGAAAAAACGCGTTTTAAACTGTGTACCTACAGAGAACAACGTGTGTGTGTGTGTAGTGGTCTCCTTCGCACAACGTACGCACCTACGTGCAAACCTCAATAGGGGCAGCGCAATCGATGCCGGGAGAGAAGGCAAATCATTACAACCGCGACGACAAAAAAAGGAGCCTACAAGGTGTTGACCTCTGGCATTCGCTGCGGCAGGGGTCGCAAGTGTAGTAAACCTCTATTTTGACATAGAGGACGAGAGCGCCCCGCCGGTGCGCACACGCCAAGCCCGAACACACAAAGGTAATCTGGCAAAAGGAGTTGCAGAGAATCTCAACACGTTTATTTTCAAGAAAGCATGAAGGCGCACAAAGCAGAAACCGTTGGCACGTACCTGCATCGCTGCGTTGAAGCTGAAATTGTCCGGCTTGAGCCCTCTCTCGGACATCTCGTTCAGCAGAGCTCTGCCCCAGGACAAGACAGCACGGCGTCATCCAGAAAGGGCAGCAATATAATGAATTGATGGAAGACTCCGGTACATCGCAGGAGAAAGGAGAACCGGCTCGTCTCGTTAAAGAAAACGTTGTGGTAACCTCATTCAAAGGAAAGCTCCAGCTCAGCAACAGGAAGGAACCAACCTACACCTAAAGGTCGTCAAACGACCATAGAAAATAGCAAAAGGGGTGTTCATCACCCAAAAGCCCCCCCCCAAAAAAAGACCATACGAGGTCAATGATCTAACGACTACGGCATGCACGACTATGAGTACACCCCCCCCCAAAAAAATACCATACAGCAGCGAAGCTAGCACCATGATACAACGCACGGAATGCGTGGTTTACAGGGCGACACTGCTGAGAGTAATATTTTCACAACAAAAAAACGGAACACCATAAATGTTGTGAAGAATCACGGAGCCCCATTTCACCTTGGGCCTGCTGTGTATGTTAACCCCCATCCCTCACCCAACCCCTCCCCTCTCACCCACCCCCCTCCCCTCACTTCGCTTCTCGTGCCCTGCCGGCCCTGGAGAGGCCGGAGATGGCGGAGTTGAACGTGACGGTGTTGGGCTTTACCCCGTAAGCTTTTTCCATTCCACGGAGAAGCTTCAGGGCCTCGTCGGGGGCATCTCCCTGCCGTTGCACGACACCAAATACGAAGAAAAAAACGGTTTAAAAAAATGGTTACTGTATTCGCTTCTGTCGCCCAATCAGCAGGACAACACCCTATTCCGATACACACGAAACTCTTTCAAATCGACCGAAGTCTTGCTGTCGTTCCGTTCGGGTTTCGCCGGGGCCACCTCCGTGGAGTACCGCTGAAAACACACGAGAAAAAAGTTGCATTTCTCAAAACAACCCCTGTCCCGTTGTCTCGAAGTAAAGAAAAACAGGAGGGTTGTCACAATTACAAACACAACGACAGACAACTCAACGGTTACCAAATGTTCAGGCCAACTTCACGTTTGAGCGAAAAGGTTGGTTGACACTACAGCCAACTTGGTAACCTACCAACCACATTGCAGGGGTTGTCACCCTGGCACTTTTACTTTCACGCGGACAACGTTGCGTCAATGGCAGCACGTTTTAGGCGAAAGGGCGTCAAAAAAACAAACAAAGGGCAAACCTAGCCTCGTTTGGCCGTACCTACCTCTCTGGGGGGGGGGGCAGGCAGGCGACAACGCGGCTTTTAGTTTGTTGTGGGTTTGGTAATCGCGGGCGGCGGGGGGGGGGAAGGGTAACACTGGCCTCCCAACAGTCACGGCGTTGAACCCGCACCACTTGGGAAACCTCATCGCGAACAAAGGAAACAGGAGAGGAATTCGCCGGAATGACGACTAGGGACATGAGCCCTCGGCATCCGCCACCACCACAAACACAACCGCCGCGCGACAGATCTGCATACTTCCACGTGTGTCAACGAGACGGTTGTGATCATCGCACGAGATGGCCACAAATCGTAAAGACAAGGCGACAGCACCAGAGAGAGGTCCAAGCATGTACATCGTGCGTGACCACAAAAAACAAGCACGAAGAAGCTGCATCGCTAGTTCGAGAGCACATTCCCTGCGCGTGATCCCCAAGTTACCTTTCCACACGCGTCGACGGCGGCGTTGAGCACAACGTCGTTCGGCGGCACGCCGTCCTCCCTCATGTCTGCCAGGAGCCGCATGGCCGACCTCGGGTCGTGCGCTCTAGCACAAGCGGTGATCGCAGAGGCGTAGCACTGGGAGTTCGGGCTGGGCGCGGCGCAAAAGAGAAGAAATCGAGGGGGGGGGGGGGGCGGAGGGGAAACATAAACGTGCTTGAGGAGGGACATACGGGGCTACGTATATCACGTGCTGCTTGCGTACAATCTTTCAGCCATTTGCATCACCCGACACTCTCACGCATCATCCCTAGCGCCGTCCGCACTCTCCTGTTCCTATCAAAATACTCTCAACCGTCAACGCAACCGGAACCCAACCGGCACCCAACCGGAACCGGAACCAAACCACGCAAAAAATATTACACTTGGGCCATCCGATGGATCGATCCGAGCCTTGTCGGAACCAGAACCAGCAGAGACCCGCTCACCTCGGCCCTTCGCGTCGCATCTCCTGGATCAATTCCAGGGCCTTTTCGTGGGCACGGGTCGGCTTCGGGTCGGCCACGGCAGAAGCAATAGGCTTGTCTCCTCCTTCTCCTCCTCCTCCTATCGAAGTTTGACAGCAGCGGTGCGCGCAAAGACATCGTGTCCGCAAGCAACAACGGATGCTTGAGCTCCGTACGGAACTCGACGAGCGTGCCTCGAGAAGACAGTCAAAGTGTTTCGCTAGTTCCGACAGCGATGTGTGCTTGTGATCAGCCTACAAAGGAGGTCCGAGCATAGGAGGAAAAAAACGAGATGCCTTCAAGGGCCCTCTGCAGCACGTCACAAGAGAAGTCCTTTGGCTTCGGAAAGACGACTCTCCCAACTACCATTAATTCTCACAAATAAGAAAGACAAGTTTCGCGCTAAACAGCAGTGTCGCGTGTTACTAGACGACGCGCTGCCATCCTTCACCTCAATCATCAGGCAAAAAAAACGTCCGTCGCATCCGCCGTTTGCTTGCCGTCCAAAACCTCAACCTTCGCTCCTATCCCAACGAACGGTAAGACGTAGGGTTCCAACCAAACCCTCTCGTTTATCACCTATCCCGTGAGAAAAGAGAAAAAGTACCGTACGAACACACGTAACGAAGAGTTACAGTAGCACACGAACGAGAAGAAAAAAAACGCGTCCTGCTCCTTACCGCCGCCGCCGCCTCCCTCGTCGGCCCCTTTCCTGCCCCAGGTGCTCCGATTCTGCGTGCCGGCGACCTCTCCCAGCGCGAAGATGGCAGAGCCGAAGCAAACCACATCGGGCTTCACTCGCCTGGTCGGCATCTCCGTTAGTAGCGCCACTGCCTGCGGTTTCAATTCATATCACAATATGGTGGCAGTACATCACTTTTCTGTGTCTTACAGGCAGCGGCCTACAAGAGTATCGGTTCCGACCATATGCTTAATAAACCACGGGTACGGCAGACGCTTGACTTTCTTGCATGACGCGAAGGTCAGGGGTAAGTCTACTACGTACGAAGTAGGATCTAGAGTGGGGTTCTGCGCTGACGCTCAACGCTCTCTCATTTTTTTCGTATGTCTCAAGCCTCGCCAACAGGGGCATCACGCTTTCAATCTACCGACTCCTCCCACGGAACGACCGCCACATCACACGGTGCGACTTAAGGTACCCACCCACCCCCATGTGCAGACCCCACCTCGTACCACATGCAACGACGAGCACCCGCAAATAACAGTAAACTAGGGCTCTCGGCCTTCAACACGGCAGGTTCACGTAACACGGATGATGCTCAATAGCGGCGGCAGTGAAACGCCTTGGCACAGATCCAATCAATAACGCCAAAACCCTTGTCCAACTCCCGACAGGGCGGGAGGGGGGTTATAGTAATGGATGGGGGGTATCCCCTTTGTACCGCCGTGCGGGTGTGTTGGGGAGGGGCTTGTACACACGCTCTCATATCTACGGAAAAGGAGTTTCGGCCACTATTTCTGCTCCACGCAGACACCTCGCCGGCATCTCTCACCTCGACGGGTCTCCCGGCCTTTCCGCAGGCGTTAATGGTCGCGGCGTAGGCGAACGCGTCGGGCCTGTCGCTGCCGTCACCACCCTTTCCCATGCCGTCTAGCACCTCCACCGCCTCCCTCCATTTTCCCGCTTGGCCCAAGCAGGTGATAGCCACGCTGCGGTCATCGTTCGTGGGGTTGTGTAGAGCGCGCGGAGGATGGGTCAATGTTATCAGGGTTTGCTGTGTCTCAATGTGCGCTGTCAACATCTAGTGCTCTGGTTTTCGCATAGATCGGTAAACCGGATTCCGCATAAACGTGAAGTTCAATTGGAGACTCACGTGCACACAATGGCGTTCTTGGGCCCTTCTTCGAGCGCCTCCAGCATGCCCTCGAAGTCCCTGGCTTTCGCGAGCTCCTTGATTCTAGCCGCCAGCATCTTGCCTTTCTCCACCTTTCGAGAACACACGACCAAAGCAGGCCAAGTTAACAAATAGGCCATGGGGGGAAAAATGATTCTGATTCGGCTTGTCGCGACAAGCAAAGGGAAAGATTAGGAAGGGGCCACGCGCGAACCTTTTCTTCTTGAGCCTGTTGCCGGCGGGAGAGCGACCCCCGGTATTTCTTCATCGAAGATTGCGAACACATTGGATGGTAGGTTCCCACGCACGTGGCTATTCACCCTACCCCAACCGCAACCCTAGTCAATATTGTCGGACACAGCAGCAGCGCCGACGCTACAAAAGCACCGGAAAATAACTACTGCAGTCTCGTATTGCCGTCCCTGCCGAGCCCTGCGTTTGTGGGCCTCTGGGCACGCTCGAAGCAAACGGTAGTACCAGAGGTTCTTGCACCGCACTCTTTGACACATGGAACCGGTTCGACCCTTACATCTCTGCTGCTGTGATTAGCCCGCCAGACTGCTCACTGCTCACTCGTTTTCACTTCGTATAACTGCTGTGCTGCAGGCTCTATATCCAGGCAACAGCAACTATTCGGCGGCCTTCCTCGTGTCTGCCACGCTCGCGGCGAACACCGCATGGCACGTGGCAAACGCGTCATGACACACCGCACCTGGCGCCTGTTCCCCTATCATACATGAGACGACCAAGTTGACCTGTTTTATTCTCGCTTATAACAAACACGCTCATCTCTTCCATGAATAAGAGTCTGGGATCGAATGGCAACGAATCCATCGCGTCAGCGGAAACTACCTGTTTTTCTACCATTCGTTGAGCGCCGAGCAGCATGTATCGGTATCTCCCTGCTGGGGTGAACCTTAACCTTTTGCGGCCGACAGCGACGGGGGCGGGGGGACCACGCACAGCCGCACAAGCAAGGAACTCTCTCGCTCATTCAAGAACAATCCCCAAGGGCAACCGTCCCTGCGATGGAATTGATTGACCGGCTACCGCGCGCACACGAGCCTAAGAAGATTGGCCTGCCCGATCGCTATCGGTCGATGCACTCACTGCTTGCAGGGAGTGCGTGCGGAAGTTGACGTTTGCTTCTGCGGTCGCTAACCGGGCTAAACAACATGAAACATGAACACAACAGCATGTCTCTCACCGTCTGCGGATCAAGCCGGCCCCAGCCAGCACCTCCTCTTCCCCTTCCGCCACCACCCCTCCCGAATCTACCACGCCCTCCCCCCCGACTAAACCGCCCGCCGCCGCCACCCCACCTCTCCTCCCCTGTCCGGCCACCCCGGCTGAAGTAGCTGTCGCGGCCACCGCCGCCGCCCCTTCCTCTGCCGCCTCTGCCGCTCGCCGCAGAAGACCCTTGCCACTCTTCCCTCGCCCTTCCCCTCCCACCACCCCGGTTCCCTCTTCCCCGTCCTCCTCTGCCAGAAAATCTCCCCCCTCGTCCTCCCCGTCTCGGCTCTCGGCTGCCGCTGCTGCCGTCGGCGTAGTCGTAGCCGCTCTCGCCCCCCCATGACCCAACCCTCGTTGCAGTGCTGCGGATGCTGGAGCTCGAGAATAAACGTGGTGTTGCTGGCGTGGTCGCCGCGAAAGCGGTCGTGGTAAGAGGTTGCGTGACCCATCGTCCGGCTTCTTGCACTACAGCGGCAGCCGTGTTGCCTCCTGGAACGACACCCATGATAATGTCTGCTGTTGTGGTCATGTTCTTGCGAAGCAAAGACGCCGTGAGGGGGTACGTCGTTTCATAGCAGGCACCCTGCGGAACCTTCTCCTGCTTGCTTGGCTTTTGGGACTCATGTGCGGCGAGTTTAGCAGAGGACGGCAGGACAGAGCAACGCTCTGCACCGTACACCGCAGTTCCGACACTCCTGTCACAAGAGAAATAAGGGGCGAACGATGAGGCTGGCACCGAGGGAGATCGAGAAGATCAGGCTGCACAATGTGAGATACGACGGCATCCACAGCAAGCATAAAGCGGGTGCATGTTGTTTCGAAAGAACCGCTTTCAGATACGAGCATCTTTCTAACCGTGTCGTGCATGCCAGGGACATCGGCGGAAGTAGCAACAGTCCTGTTGGGTGCTTCACATCTATGTTGTCACGGTCTCAGGGAAGCGTGCTGCTGCCCCATGGGGCATCTCACACGTCTCCTAGCTCCAAAGTTGCTGTTTGATGATTGCAGTTTTGACCGGACGGGCTCGCACAGAACTGCAAGAACCCGCGTCATCAGCTGCACGTCATCTCGCCGCAAGCGAGGCAGGCACCTCGCTCGGCAACACCCTGTCTCCTACACCACATCGACATACGGTAGCCGTTGACGATACGTGTTCTATTGTGCCGTTCGCGTATGCAGTGTCTTGTTCTGTAGGAGCAGAATGACTATTGTACAAGAAAATACTGCTGTAGACCACTGTCGGCTGCACAAGATATCCTAAGATATCACACCCCCTTTTGGACCGATTGTCAACGCTCGATTACTCCGCCGCAAAAATAGCGGCGGTGCCCAACAACGGCGGCGTAGTAGCTGTCTCGTCGAGAGCTTTCCGAGGACATATGGGTTTGATTTTGGCATCCCCTTCGTGGTGGAAAAATAGAGGTTTGAACATCGGTCCAGAGATCTTTATCAACCTCCGGTAAGTAAGTACCAAGCTCGACAGATTTGAATTTCAAAACGCTCGTTGCCCGTTAGCATCCGCCGGTACCCCTTTGGTTTTGCTGTCGTGCTATCGTCAGCGATATTATGTATCCTGAACCTACCCCGATCTTGCAAAGCTTCAGGCTGTGGGATGTTGTCCGCGAGAGTATGCATAACCGCGGTCGGCCCCGACATTTTTTTCTGTGTTTTGAGTATGGATGACCGCTGAGAGGCACGTGTTATTTTTTTGCAATGCTACTTGTTCCCAGCCTCAGACCTGCAGGCGTTTCGTTGCGGAGAGAGCTCGGTCATCACATGATGTTACATTGCATAGACAAGAAATGTCATGTATTCTATTCAGCTTCCAAGTTGGACTGATCGGATTTTGCCTCCGCTCTTGCCTTCCCCTCCCCTCCCCTTTTCTTCGCCTTTCTGGCTTGCACTTCTTGGAACTTTTTTTTCTTTCAAGGAATAGTCGGACTTGCTCTTGTGCTTTCTTTTGTGTCATGTGCGTCTTGCCGTGACAGAAAGAAGGGGTACTGGATAGAGTCAGGCCAGCATGGCAAGCAACAACAACACCAACACTCTGTTGAGCAGACCCCCGCCCCCCTCCCCGTCGAATCCACTGTACTGTAGGTCGGCTTCCTTGCGCAGAAGCGCTTGGCTAGGGGCACCAGGCTCAACCTCCCGGAGTGCGTCGCTCTCATCGCGACTCAGGTACGACGAAGTTCCCGCTGCTTAAGTTAAAGTAGATGGTGGCACACCTGCTCGACGTCCGCAGCATGCATGCACATGTCGAAGACCGCACTCTTGTCCGCGCCACGGCTGCACCGAGGACCACTCTGGCCTTGAGCTCAACCTTTGAAACACGGTGGGTTTTCAGACGCTTGTGCTATCGGCGCCTTGGCAGAATATGTGGTGGCCGGGTATTGTCGAGACGTCCTCTTTTTGGCGACCGTACTACCTCGTTGAGAATCTATTGAACGTCCTGGTGATGACCACCCCTGGCCCCCCACCTTCAATTGCCCTCGGATGGATAAATTTCACACCCAAACCTACAAAAAGCGAAAGGGACGCTCCGGAAGGAAAAAAAATTGCCAACTATCTGAAGTTCTCAAGCACTGTTACTTACGCTGGCTTTGCTCTTGTCACAACACGGCCCCGACATGGGACGGTGGCACGACGGCGTAGTTGCTTGAGTTCATCAGGAATGGGGCGAGCGTGGCGGAGCTTCAGGACACCGGCCGGAAGATGCTCGGGCATCGACAGGTACCTATTTCCCTTGCCTGTGATACACGGGGACCCTCGGTTAATTATTGTCGGGTAAAGAGGCGTCCGTGCGATCTCACCCTGCTGTTGGCACGCCGGTAGCGGAGTGGGTCCGTCGATGAACTGGAGGCAGGGACCTGTCGTTTGAGGACTCGCTAGGGTTTGAATGGTTCATGACACGGTTGGATTCAGAATGGTTTGCGGCTACCGCTTACGGGCAGATTTCAGACTCTTGTTGGGGTGGCAGTCAGGCATGCATGTCCAACAATTGTATTTTTGGAACATGTTGACCGAGAGGGGCTTCCACTGCCGAAAGCGAGCGTGTTGGATAGGCCCCGGTATGCGTTGATGATATCGTCGTTCTTGCTATTGTTGATGTTGGTGTCGCTGTGCTGTTACTATCCTTCTTCTGAAGGTGATGCCTGGCGTTGCCTCGGAGATGAACGAGGTGCAGGTGGAGGGAACCTTTCCGGATGGCACCAAGCTCGTCACCATCCATGTCCCCATCTGCAAGGAGAACGGTGACCTCGCTCTCGCCCTCCAGGTAAATTTAAACATCCTTGACGACGACCACGATGATGACGACAACGACGAGCACTTTTACTGCTTCTCTCTCCTCTCTCCCCAACTCATACGTTTAAGATAGTGGAAATTGGCAAAAATTCTGCCTCTACTCAGCAGTTAGGAACGATGGGCGGCATCAAGCACGTTGTTTGGTTCGTAAAGAAGTAGCGGCAACATGTCCAAGAAGACGGTTTCGAAGGAAAATGCTGACACCAACAGCGGCTACGCCTGCTGCAATCTTGATACTGTACGCCGGCTAGCGAAAACCGGGCGCGATGGAGTTTGTGAGGGCGGTTGTGGCGGCACTCACTTAACGAGAATGTCAGCCTTGAAGACTCTCTATTTTTTGGTTGGTGATAAGCGTTGTTAAGAGATTCAATTTATACCACCACCACCACCACCACAGGGTGTTTCTCCAATATCAAGGCACCATTTTCGTGGCAGAATTCTCCAGCCTCGGCTGTTTGTCTGTCTGTTGTGTGCAGGGATCATTCTTGCCAGTGCCCGACCTCTCCGTCTTCAGAGATTCCGAGGGGGAGACCATTAGCCTGGGCGAGGTGCTCACTCCAGAAGGCGAGCAGCTCGAGATTAACAAAGGCAGGCCCACGCTATCCCTCAGCGTCACGAACATGGGCGATCGCCCCATTCAGGTGTGCGGCGTCCTCGTACGTTCGTCGTCGTGTGTTGGAACGTGCGGAGCAGCAGAGACCGGAACGTTTTTAAATGTGAAGACTCACCTAACGTTGACAACAGCAGTTTGGGGTCGTAGCGTGTGTGGCTGAGTGTTGGGCTGGGTGTTACCGTTTGGCCGGCAGCGTTGATGTTGTTTCTCTGTTTTTGGTCGTACCATGACTTGTTTGGGCAGCGTTTTTGGTAGTGTTTAGTTGAGTCTTGTTGGACGGAGGGGCGTCTGGCCACGTCTTGCTTGTGGGCGGGTGTATACGTGTGACCCCTCTGCTGATCCCGTCTTGCGGCGTTGTGGCCGCTGCCACTCACGCTTCGTTCCTCCCTCTCCCTCTCTTCCTCTCCGCTACAACCCCCGGCGTTTGCAACACGTTGTGCTTCCATCCCTCCACCAACTAAATACCACCCACCATAGGTCGGGTCTCACTTCCACTTCGTGGAGACGAACAAGGAGTTGCGCTTCGACCGCCGCAGGGCCTACGGAAAACGCCTCCACATCCTCGCCGGCACGGCCGTCCGGTTCGAGCCTGGAGACACGAAGACCGTCACCCTTGTGGACATCGCTGGGAATCGCGTCGTCAGGGGGGGCAACGGTAAAAACGCCGTCTTGTTCTTGTGGTTTTTGTGATGTGTGGTATCGATTTCGAGGTACTGCTGGTATTCCGTCCACGCTTGTTCGGAATCAATCCACATTGCCCTAGTGTCGTTGCCGTCGTCCGTTGTGGCTCTGTTGTTGTTAGTTACCGTATCATTTCATATTTGATGGGTACATTGCATCGTCGCCAAGAATTTAGGCCGCCTTCAAAACTATTTTTCTCGTCGTCTCTCGTACGATATTACAACTGTTTACAGTTTTGCTGATAAAATTCCCTTGCTGCATCGTTCTGCGCACACGTGCATTTTTTTTCTCCCTGCATGCCGCGAAATATGTATATTTCGTTGCAGCGCTGTGCGATGGGCCCGTGGACCCCGCGGCATGGGACGGCATCATGGAGAAGATCGTTGCGGAAGGATTTGGACACCAGGATGTAAGGGCGTCTGCCAATCTTCGCCCACACGCGTCGGTGCAAGCGGTAGTGTTTTCATGGATGCATTTCGCGTGGGCGAGGACAACAAGAAAGCATTTCAGGTTCTTAGAATGTGCTCAAGTGCCACCCCACCACCCCTGATCCAACACTCTGTGCGGACCTCCCCCCCCCCTGCATTGCTGATTCTCCCGACCCCCTCTTCGTCCTGTCCCCTCCAGGAACCCGGTAGCATGGAGGACGAGGGGGCCAAAACGACCGTTAGTCGGGCAAACTACGCGGCCGTGTTCGGACCGACGACGGGTGACGTCGTGCGCCTCGCGGACACCGACCTTTATGTGAGCTGCTTGGCACCCCCCCCCCTCTTTCTATCCCTGCCTCTCTCTCTGTCTCTCTCTGTCTCTCTGTCTCTGTCTCTCTCTGTCTCTCTCTGTCTCTCTCTTTACGCGTGTTGTTCAAGCTAGTTCTGTGCTCAGACTGTTTTTTTTCGTGGTGGTGGGAAGGTGGCGGCGGGGTTGGTGGCGCCGATGCTGTCGGTGTTCCTTGTTTTCCGGCGAAGGGTGGTCATGTTGGTGGTAACGATTGGAGGTAGTGTCTCTTGACTTTCTTGTTGTTGTCGTTGTCGGCGTCGTTGTTGCTGTTATTCTTGTTCCATTGTTGCTGTTGCTGTACTGTTGTCATCTTGGTGTTGTCCAAGGCTCCCGCTGTTTATCGCTCCCGCCCTCACGTCCGTCTTTGGTTGAGTGTGTTGGACCAATATTTGTGATCGTGCTCCGCCCTTTTTTCTTACAAAGGTGCGGGTGGAGTCGGACTACACCGTGTACGGTGATGAGTGCAAGTTCGGGGGCGGCAAGGTGAGTTGCTGCTGCTGCTACTGTTCTCGGTGTCACACATGCCCCTTTGAACGTTCTGGAGTCCCTCACATCCATATGCCGTAGCTATCCTAATCGTCATTCAGACAAGGTAGTGAAGTTTTTCTACGTGGAAAATTGCAATTTGATCGCTATGTGTGTAGCTGCCGGGTGTCAAATGAAATGTTTATTTTGAGCTCTTCCTTGAACAGCGATTTGTTCTGCTGCTGTTGTGTAGGTGCTGAGGGAGGGGATGGGGCAGGCCACCGGCGTGGGGGCCGCGGAAGCGCTGGAGACCGTCATCACCAACGCTCTCGTGCTGGACCACACGGGCATCTTCAAAGCGGACGTGGGCATGAAGGGCGGGCTCATCTCCGGCCTGGGCAAGGCCGGCAACCCCGACGTCATGGAGGTATATTGCTGTTCTCTGCATTTTGCGTGGACCCGATAACCGTGACCTGTCATAGAGGTACCGCCACCCCAAAACCCTGAACTATTTCCTCCAGTCTGGGTGAAGTCGGTGTCCATGATGTCACGGGGGCGCACTGCCCTAACCGTAGCTATTGTTTCCAGGCCTGGTCACACCGGCCACCATAACGTCATGGAGGTACATACCACCATCGTTTTGACACGTTGCATACATCAAATATCCGAGGTTCCAGTGAAGCTCGCGTTATTTTGAAGTATTGACTGCGGTGGAGAAAAGCAAGCTGGAAGAGAGGGGAAAGTAGGTTGCACCAGCAGTGGTGAAATTACCTATTCAGGTTTCAAAGACGAAAGCCGATACCAGCAGTATGGGCAAAACACTGTTCATATTAGGATTATGCGAGAATGGAGGCATGTTAGTGTTTGTGGTCGCTGGCGTGATAGAGTTGTACGGGTCAGGCATGACTTGAGACGTCTCGTCGTTTCTCAAGGAATCGAGTCCATTTACGGAAGCAACGTACTATGCATGATTTCCTTCTATTAGCTGTTACAGAAGTATATGTAGTGTCCGAATATTTTTTGTTCGGCGTCGTTTTCTGCTCAAGGCGATAGTAAAAACACATGAACGCACTTCGTTCCTCCTTCGGCCCAAACCTATTATCTCATCAACCCATCTGGGGTTCAGGGAGTTACCCCCGGCATGACAGTTGGGGTGAACACCGAGGTTATTGCTGGCGAAGGCTTGATCATTACCACCGGAGGGATGGACGCCCACGTTCACTTCATCTGCCCTCAGATCTGCGACGAGGTATGTGTCCCGATGTTGTTGTTGCTGTTAGTGCTGGCGGACACTCGTAGCCCGTCTGAAAATCAGGCAAGCGGAGTTTTTTTGGTAGCGATGTGTTCGTTGTTGCTTGTTTTTCTTCTTGTTGCGGCCAGGGTTTTCTTGGAAACTGTGGTGTGTCAGCCTAGACAGAAGCCCGGCCAAGTTTTGACACCCTCCAATCCAGCCAACACTGACGTAGCTCGGAGGCGTGTGACTCGGTCTCCGTGTTGTCCTTGCTCGAAACGGGGAGAATCCGCTCTCCCGCCGATACACACACCACCGCCGTCGTAGCACAACAACCGCGCCCCGTTTTAATCGTGATCGGCGTTGCCTGGATGTTTGACTTGCGCTTGACCCCATGTTTAGGCGATCGCATCGGGACTGACGACCCTCTTGGGAGGAGGGACGGGACCCGCCACGGGGACGAGAGCAACCACCTGCACCCCGCACCCCTCTCACGTACGTTAAGTATGTTGGCCATCTCTCCGTCATGTTCGTTGTTGTGGTTGTTGCTGCTGTCGTTGTCGTTGTTTCTGTTGTTCGTGGTGGTGGCCATCGATGATGATGATTACGGCGGTGTTGCTGTTGGTGCTTTGTCACTGCTGCTGTTTTTCGTGTCAAACGATGTTATCATGGTGACTACGTGCGTGCCCACGCTGTCCAATGCTGCTGAAGGGCACCGCGTTCTGGTGCCCTTACACGACAAACCAGTTCGCTCGGGAAACCAAGTGAGGGCAGTTCCTGTGGCTCATGGCCACAGCTGCTGTGCTAGTGGCTGCTCGAGGCTTGTGATGTGTTTCACGTCATTCCCCACCCCCTCTAAGTAATCGCCACCTTCGGGAGGCCTATTTTATTTATTGTTGTGTGGATTTCTGCCGCTTGTACAGCATCCACCATGAAAAGGTTTTGTTCCGCGAATTTTCGTCGGATTAGGCCCTCATGCTCTCCTCCGCCTACAGCTTAACCTGGAGTGATATTGGTAGGATGAACTTCACCGTCGGCGCGAATTGCGCCCCCAACACCTCAAGAATCTTGGTGTCTGGTTCGATGCTTGTCTAGTCCGCGAGAGTTCAATGACGTGCTTCGTCCGCGCTCTGAAGGGGGGGTTCGCCAACTTCCCCTCCCTGTACCCCCCCCAAAATGAACCTACCTACCGCCTTCACGTCTCTCTCTTTCTCTCGCATGTGTTGTGCATTTTTTTTCGTGTGGATCTCGACCCGGGCGACACAGATGAAGATGATGCTCCAATCCACGGACGCTATCCCGATGAACTTCGGCTTCACGGGCAAGGGGAACACCTCCAAGCCGGAGGGGCTCAAGGAGGTCAGTTAAACGCCAACGCGGCTGACTACTGCTGTCTTTGTGTGCGCTGTAGGCAAGTTGGGTGGGACACTACCATTAGTGACGAAACGGGCGCGCGCGTGCACGTTGGCGAATCAGAGGGCGTGAACCACGTACCCAGGACGATCCACTCATCAGTTTGCCAAACCTAATACTGTCGGTGCAAGGTCGTGTCTCTCGGGCGTTGTTGACAATGGCAACCGGGGCTTTTATCAAGCTAGCGCCCTGAACGTGCGACCTTCTGGCCTTGGCGTATTTGTGCCAGGCAGCCCGACGTGTCCTATTCGGTGTTGAAAGGATGGGGTTGGGCGATGGAGGTCATGTTTTTCCGAAGAAGGGTGGGGATGTATTGTGACCGATTGAAGCAGTCGGTGGTGGGAGTTTTTGGGTGTAGTATAAGCCGACGGTGCCGCTCGAATTCTGTTGCAGTTGCTAAACAAGAGGTTACACAATTTTCACGTTAACACATAATGCGAGGTCCTCCAAACTGGGACGCAGCGTACATTCAAATTGTGATTTTTTGACAATCTGCAAAGCACGTTTCATTTTCTTGAACATGGGTTTGTTCGTACGGAAACGTTCTAGTAGCCATCGTCCAACCGGAAAGCACCGCGCAACATACTCCAATGCGTAATGAAACCGAAGCCGAAAGACTCTCGCAGTCGAAAACTGGGTCGCACCCCACGCCCTACGCTGCTGTTGTTGTTGTCGTCCTTGTTGTTGTTGTTGCAGATCGTGGAGGCCGGTGCGGTGGGCCTCAAGCTGCACGAGGATTGGGGCACCACCCCCGCCGCGATCGACTGCTGCCTCACGATCGCGGAGGAAACCGACATTCAGGTATGTGTGTACCGCGAACCAATCTCGGCGATGGTCAGCGGTCATGATTTTTGTGTAGGCTTGCTTGGGTGTGTGACAACACGGAGCAGAAAATCTTCATTTGGCTGCCCATTAAGTCGCCTGTTCGTGGGCTCAGTTGTTGTGATAGATAGGCGTCGGTACTAAACGTACGCGTAGAACACGTTGGGGTCGCGAACGGACGGACTCTCGGATACACGAAAAGTCGGAGCACACCAAGATTTTTTTTTACCATCTCTACGGGATCCTGCGCCCACCTCTCCGGCGTGGAGGCGACATCACGCGCCATCAAGAATTCTTCACAAATTTTCGCTTGTGCTGACTGCAAAACTAGGTCACGATTCACACCGACACGCTAAACGAGTCGTGCAGCCTGGAGGGCTCCGTGGCTGCCTTCAAGGGCCGCACCATCCACACGTACCACAGCGAAGGGGCGGGCGGGGGGCACGCGCCCGACATCATCGCCGTCTGCGGGGAGCCGAGTGTCATCCCGTCCTCCACGAACCCGACCAGGTGAACACAATAAAATGAAGTACTACACATGGGCGCGGTTGTTGCTTTTGTTTCGTTTGGATAATTGAGGTGCTTTGCCATGCGTAGTGTTATACCGTACCAGTGAAGGCATACGTTCCCAAGCTTTACGTGTATGGTCAGCATCCTTAATTCTTACTTGTAACAATTTTTGTTTTCGTTTCTATGCCATACCAAAAAAAAAGAAAAAAGTTTGTTGTCTCCCCCGAGTCACTGGCGTCTCTCTTCGGGCCCGTAGTGTTCCAAAGGGTGAACTTTCTCTGCCCAAGTCGTTCGTTGCTTCTAGTTGTTGACAGCAGTGTTCAGAGTGCGATTCATCCCTGAAACCGGCTTACACCACAGATCACCGCATGGGATCTACTGGCACAAATATTCAAGTTTTTTTGTGCTTCGTTGAAATGAACCCCAGCTGTTCCGCGTTAGCCTCTCAATATCGTTCTAGTTCGCTGTTGCGATCCCCGGTTCACCTCGCCGCGGTTCCACGCGGTTCCCGTAAACAGATGTACAGCACTCCTTTGTTGATGTCGATGGTCGCAGTTCCCCTTAGAAACTATGGTGATTATTTCACGTTTGCCTTTATTTCGCTGTGTTTTTTTTGTTTCCTCTACCACCACCGCGAAGACCGTATACGACCAACACCATCGACGAGCACCTGGACATGCTGATGGTGTGTCACCACCTGGACAAGGGGGTACCCGAAGACGTAGCCTTCGCCGAGAGCCGCATCAGGTATGCGGCCAACTTTCGCCCCCCAACCCTCCCCCCATGAAGTCGCCCGGTTCTGCCACCTATCATAGGAGAGACCTCTCGCCGCAAGGCTGTCCTGCAAGCGGTTCTCGGTGACCTGTTTGTGGGAATCACCGCTTGGTGCTGTGAGAGCCTGGTCGGCGAAACCCCCCAAGACCTTGTAAAGATGCCCTATGGGGGTCTATGGTGTTTCGAAGATTGTGATGATATGGTCTGGGTGGCCCGACTCAGAAACTGTTGAGCTTTGCCCCAGACCTCTCCCTTGCCCCTCTTCCCCAGTTACCCCTCCTCCTCTCACTTCCCTCCTCCTCTCGTTGCGTGGTTGTTGGACCAGTAGAGGATGAAGGCTAGGGCGCTTGCCAAGAATTGTATGCTATTCGACCACTTATCAACACCGTCGAAAATATTTGCCTCTATCTCATGAACAATTTTTTTCCCGTGGCGCCATCAGGACGGAAAGCACAACACAATTATGTCGCACCCTGCTGTGAAAGACGGAATGCTATTGTGCCGCAGTGCGATTTTAAATAGTCCCGTCTCTCATCCCATCCCGTGTCACATCAAGCCATGACGCAAGGTTCCCTATTTTCCCACAAGTTCCATATCATCCTTAACCATTGCCACACCAACCGTTTGTTTTGTCTACCGGTTTCGTTGTTGAAGGGGGGAGACGATCGCTGCGGAGGACATCATGCACGACATCGGGGCCATTAGCGCCATGTCATCTGACTCCCAGGCCATGGGCAGGGTGGGCGAAGTGATCACTAGGACATGGCAGACAGCGGACAAGGTGATGAGAAGTCGTGCGCTCCAGTACTTGCACGTCAAGTAGTGATTTTTTCCGTTCCTTCGATCACAGCACGCCAAGCGACGATGCCGCCTTGCGGATGCCATACGAAGTACATGTTCTTGAAGGGAAAAGAGCTGTGACGCTTTAGCGCTATTTTGCCGAAAATTGTGAACGGTCGAAGTCAGTCTCCGTCATTGAAAATGATGTGTGAACTTATGGTGCCTCTGCATGCTGCGTAGTGTGTACTTTGGTACTGCTGTACCTGACTGTGGACATGCGTGATTTGGCGATTGTTTGCGATACAGGGGAGCGAGAACAATGCCAACACCGGATGGGGGTATCATGTTTTCTTGGCACGTGTTACCATGCAACCAAGCACAACAACGTCGTAAACGATTGTCCGCTACGTCCTCTCGTCCGTCTGTCTGTGGATGTATGTGTGTTTGTGCCATCATCTTGGTTTTACCTTCCTGGGGGCTCCGTTGTTGCAATTTTTCAGATGAAGAAGCAGCGTGGTCAGCTTGACGAGGACAAGGCGGCCGATGAAGGTCAGTCGCTGCATTGGCTTGTTATTCCTGCTGCCATTGCTGCTGCTGCTACTGTTGTTGCTGCTGCTGGTGATCTATTCTGCTGCCGGTGCGTTGGCGTCGCCTATGGTGGTAAACTAGGTAGGAAGAATTTAGCCACAAGTGATTAGAGAGAGAACAAGCGTTCCTACTCGATCTTGCCCCAAAGCAAGTATTTGCCGAGTCATCAGTCAAAATCCCAAGGTGCGATGACTTCACTTTGATAGCACCCCCCCCCCATCCTCCTGCCTCCAACCCGTCTCCCCCCACTCATAAAATGACCGCAGCTTCCGCGTGGACCCCTGAGGGAGTGACAACCGACAACTTCCGAGTACGGCGGTACCTGGCGAAGTACACCATCAACCCCGCACTCGCGCACGGCATGTCGCACCTGCTGGGATCCGTCGAGGCAAGAGAAAAGTATTTGCAAACGAAATGCCATTGTGCGGGCCACGCTGCCTCTTTCCAACTTCTTTCCGTCCCGCATTCCCCTCCCCTCCACCCCCGACGTCCCGCCTTGCAGACCTCCGAAAGTAATGCATGCCGTGTCATCGCACCAGGTTGGATCCGTTGAGGCCACGAAACGATTTTTGAAGGTCGATGCCGTGCAACGCTTCGTTATAGCTCATTTTTATTGTACTTGACAGCTTGACCTAGAATCCAAACGCAACGAAGGTGTGTCGTGTTCTGTTGGTGCTTTGCCGCTGCCCTCCCTGTACGGATATGGCGTGAAACCGACTCCGGCTCTGCGCTTATCGTGCACCACCTGTGCGTAGTGACCGGCCCGTGCTAACTCGGCGAGCGAAAAGAACTATTGTGTGGTGAATACCGTGCAAGCATCCCTCACGTGTACTTGCCGATGCTCCTACACGGAAAAAGCAAGCAATCGAGCCGAGCGTTCAATCCCGAAAAAAAGTAGCTAGCTCGTACCACGCGAGGGCAGCGTGGTATTTCCAAGTTTCGGTCAACCCCAAACATGACGGTCACCCCTATCCCTATCCCGACTGCTTCCACATCCAACGCTACCACCACCTTCACGCTCACACACCCTACTACGCCACGTACCCATCCCCCAATTGCGAAATCGGAGATACGTACCCTTGTCATGTCATGCCTGGCTGGATGGCTGCCTGCCTGTCTGCTTTCTGTCTGTCTGTCGCTCTTTCGCTCTGTGTGCCTCTCTCCCTCTACGTCCCTCTCTACAACGAACTTACAATATGTGGCTTTGTCGCTCCTGTCTATCCCTCTGGCTCTCTGCCACCACCAAAACAAACCAGACCGGAAAGCTAGCCGACCTCGTTCTCTGGAAGCCTTCCCTCTTCGGCGCGAAGCCCGAGATGATCCTCAAGGGGGGCCAGGTGGCGTGGTCACAGATGGGGGACCCCAACGCCTCCATCCCTACCCCTGAGCCTGTAGAGATGCGGGTCATGTTTGCCGGGAAGGAGGGGACCGGGGCGGCGGCCGGGTGTTCGGTGGCCTTCGTGAGCGGGCCGAGTCTTGCGGAGGGGGGCCCGGTCGCGGGCTACGGGCTCAAGAAGAGGTGCGTGTTGTTGTTTTTGGCGTTGTTGTTGTTGCTGTTGGCGGTGTTGGCTTGGTGTTGGTGTTGATGCCGTCTGTTTGTTGGCGTTGGTGTTGCAGTTGGTGCTGTTGTTGGTGTTGGTGTCGGTGTTGGCGTGGTACTGGAAGCTGAGTGCAGCGGAAATCGAAGCAAGACCTGCAGTTCATCTTTGTTACAAATATAGCTAGAAGACAGGGATCAACGTTGAGGACGGCGGCCATTCTCTGGTGAGTTCGGGGCCGCCCCTCGATTTGGCGTCGACGCTATTGGTCTCATCTCCATACAGCACAGCTGTTCTTGATGTGCTGGTATACTGGTGCCATGCGCTAATGGGGACATGTGCTGTTCACTTAGCCCCGAGATGCGAGCTTTTCAGCGTAACGTTTATCGGCGCTCGAGTGCGCCGGTTGCATTATTCATGGAGATCGCACGTGGTCCATTCAACCGTCATTCCGTCAGCCCGGGTAGCACTAAGTATTTTCTCTCCTCTTTCCTGGCTATTGTTACTCTCGGTCTCAATGAAACCCATCCCCTTGAAGGGTGGAGGCCGTCAAGGGGTGCCGTGGGGTGGGCAAGAAGGACATGAAACTGAACGACAAGCTGCCCAAGATGACTGTGGATCCGGAGACCTACGAGGTGAGATGTCCTTCGGCGGTAATGTCGACAGGCAACCGAGTTGGGCAAGAGGTTCTTTAGCCGTGTATCGTACGTCTGTGGGTGGGTTTTCCGCCCAGCCAGGCCATGAACCTTTCGCTAGCACAAGGACTTCGGAACATCAGGACATCTCTCTGAACCCCGCCTCATCGAGCGGCCCTTCCAGGATGACTACTGACTATATCTTCTTGCTCACCTAAGCTGTGAAGTGCAATAAGAGAGTACCGCAATTGTTTTCGGGGTTTCCGAGCAAGATCTCAGGCGTTGTCAGCAGGTTCCTAACTTGGAACGGCGGTGCGAGCCTTATGAAACCATGTGCGGGTCGTTCAATCGTCTCCTGTGTAGCTGAAATGATTTGTGCTTCGGGTCTCCCTCGAAAGTAAGTTGGTATTGAGACAAAGTGGTAGCCCCGGTCGGGAAAGCCCGAAGGCGACGTGTTGTGTCACTAGGCGAAGACAAGAATTACACCACTGGCGGACGTCAGCGTGAGCTGGTGAACGTGTGTACACACAGAGTACATGACGTGCGACACTTCACTACCCTCTAGCTTCGATGTACGCGCCCTCGCATTAAAGGATGGTACGGAACGTAGGGCGAGAATACACCCTCTGCCCCAACACCAGAGTGTGAGCCCGGTGGGAGCGAGATTTGGCAAAAGACAAAACGAAACGCCTGTTTAGAGTTTTCAAGCACCGAAGATTGTGCAACACCGGCGGTGCTACTGGCCTTCGCGAGACAATCCGCACGTCTGCTGCCTCTGTAGAAAGCGAGCTAGGCGCCGCTTTGTTCGGCATCCTTCGCTGATCTGTGGAGAGTAGAGTCTAACCACTTGCAATCCCGTCTTTCGCCGGCATCCCTTGCCTCTCGCTCCGCCCCACGCTGTCTGCGACATGATGATGGTGAATCGGCCTTGGCATGTGTGGCCCGCCGCAGGTGCGGGCGGACGGCGAGCTGTTGACGTGCAAACCGGCCGACACGCTGCCCCTCGCCCAGAAGTACTTCCTGTTCTAGAACCGTTTCGGACAAAATGCGGAGGAAATTGGAGATGTATTAGTTTAACGGCACCACTGCTGTCGGGCACGCTTCATCACCTGCCCGAGGGACGTTTTTTTTCTTTTACTGAGGAACGTTTGGAGAAACTGTTTTCTTTCCTCCATGGAAAAAGAAGGAGGAATGTTCCGAGATTATTTTTCTCGTTTCGGTTCAGTTTCCCCTGGTGAAAAAACACGTGAGCACGGCGGCTAAGCCTTTCACTATCCCGCAGAAGTATCACGGTACAGGGCACGTCTGTTCCCGCTTCGTGTATTTCGTTGCGCGATGACGACAGCAACACCTGTGGGGATGTTTTTTTTTTCCGTTGTCAACGAGTGGAGTGTTTTTTCCGGGCCGGATATAGCCGTAGTATTACCAGTCCGTTGGAACCGAGATTAGCTGAGAGCGTACCACCATAGTGGTATGCCGTTTGTTTTCGAAACGCGTTTCCTGGTAGAGGAAGGCGCTCGATCATGTGTTTACCGGCTTCTGCACACCCAACACAAATGTGCGTGCGTGAATACCTTGTGTGAGATCGTGCTGCTCACTCTTCTTTCTCGTTGTTGTCAAAATCAAATTCGGTTAGCGTCGTGGTGTATCCTAAACGACATACATACCAACACGAAACCCCCGTCGAAAGCCTTTCGCCCTACATAGTCGGGAACGTGGTATGAATATTTTCCGTTTTATCCATCCGACGGAGTGCAAAACTTGGAGTTCGGCATCCAGATCAACGACGAACATTTTTTTTCGCGCTGATCGCCGTTGATTGTTCGGCCGTCTCACGCGAATTTTTCTTGTTGCGAAAATCGGAAGCAAGCGGGATGCTCGGGCGGGGGGAGATTTATGGTCGGGGGTTGGGTATGCATGCTGTCAAGTATTTTATTGATGCCTGTGCTACCTTCTGTTGGCTTGTTTCTTGGGGGTGGGGGGCCGGGACCGGGCGGTGATGCCGTGGCTGTCACCCAGCGGAGCTCGGAAAACATGATTCATGCTTTGAAACGAAAACTGATCCGGCCTATGGTGTCCCAACGTTCGTCACCTGTACGATTTGGGCGGGGTGGGTGGTCATCAGTTGCGCCCACCTGCTGCGAGCGCTTTGGTTGTGGCGGAAACATTATAGGAAGTGCGAATGGAAGGCACTGTCTGCCGCAGGCTTGCTTAAGGGTTATTTTCTTTTTGACAAACGACCTCCCTTGTAAGCACACCTGAACCTACCTCTCTGTATGACCTAAGGAAGTATTTCGGTTGTCGCTGTACAGAGGATCATGCTGACAGGGATTGGTGTTGGCGTTATTGCGAAATGTCAAGCTGTAAATTGCTGCCTGCCATGCGGAGAGGTCAGACGGAACCCGTGTCGAAGAAATATTATTTTCGGCCCCGTCCCATGGCATGTTACATACATATCATTGTCCTCACTCCGTTTACCACTCGTATTCCCAGTTCTGAATGTCTGCGCGCGTTTCTTGAATAAAGTACAGAGTAGCATGGTAGGCAGTGTACTACAGTACTCTGTCTGTCGTAGCCGGACAATAAACGAACGACAAGACGGTCGGTTCTCGTTTCGAAACCAGCCGCGGAGGAAAGTAACGGTCCAACCAGCCTCGGATTCCGAGTAAGTGCGTGCCTGCTGTACAAGATGAGACGACACAACACCACCTACTGCTGCTTTGCTCCTCGTGGCGATATCTGCTACTGTAATAATGCTGCTGTTGTAGCATCGTGTCCCCGATGCCGTTTGGGGTTTGGGGTTTGGGGTTGGGGCCCCCACGGTGTTGGGGGAGAGACAGGTCTTTTTGGGGGGGGTGTGCCTGTTAGACATGAAACAACAGCCATTGGTTGCCAGTCAAACTCTCGCCAAAAAAAAAAAACCGACTATTTTTCGGAGTTGTTGCAGCAATAACCCTATCTCGCCCGTGGACGCGTCCGTGGACCGCCGTCCACATTTGTCCGTGGACGCCCATTGACTTGTTCACGGACATGTCCGTAGACATTCACTGAACGTGTCCACGGACGTCCACGGACATCGTCCACGGGCGTCTTTCCGGTGTACATGGATGTCCGTGAACGTGGACGTGTCCAAGGACGTCCGTGGACGTCTGGACATCCATGGACACGTCCATAGTAACGTCAAACAATGTAAATCATTGGTCGCAACGGCCATCCCCGGCAAAGGTTGGTACGCAAGATCCGCTCGGATTTTCTATCTAGATTCTGCCACAGCATGTTTTAACTGAATATTGTTTTTGCAAGGTTCACGTGACTAACCTATCCCTATATTGTGAAAGGCGTGGTGGTAGGTTTCGTGGTATGTTGGCCTAAAAGCGTATTCTACATGCGGGTGCCTCCATCATTGACCTTGTGTTACATAGAAATCGGGAACATAATACAGATGCAATAGCCCAAGAGCTGTATACCGCCTCCTCTACGTGTGTGACTGTACGACGGGGAGGACACAAACGTCGGAGACCTACTTACGTATGTACAACGATTCTTGGTGCTATGCCGCCGGTTGGCTTCCCCACACCGGTGTCCAACAGAAATACACCCACCACATTCTGCGTTGTTTTGGGTTGAGTCACAAAGGCCATCGCCAGCAAGGGTCGGCAAGCATGATGCACTGGGGTTGCTGGCGTCGTCGTCGGTGTAGTAGTAGTAGTCGTACATGTAGTACCACGGCACGTATTCGTCGTCGTCCACACACGCCGCTGCAGGGTCGATGCAGCTAACGCTCACGATGCCACACCCATACGCCTCGTCGATACAGGTGCACTCGGAGCAATCACCGCCATCGTAGCCTGAGGGCGTGCGGGGTAAAGAGACGCAGGAGCTCTTCTCGTCGATGGCTGATTCACCCTCGTGAACATCGCAAACTCATAAATGTCTCGCAATTAATGCTCAGCACTTCTGGTCATTAGCGTACCTTGACGAAACAGGGAGGAGATGGGAGCATCTCCTAAGTCCGAGGGGTCAGGGGGTGCTTGAAGGCAAATATATAATTATGTCCTTCGTAGGAAGACACGTACTCTTGAAACCGGCGTCATTCATGGACACACTTTGCACTTTCCATGGAACACGCACAGCTCACTGCTGGAAAAAATGAAGAAAGCGTGTCAGCCATATCATGTGAATTTGATGTAGACTATGCAGGGATTGTGGTAAATTCCAAACAGCGCATATCATGTGAATTCGATGTTGACGACGCAGGGATTGTGGTAAATTCCAAACAATCATCTTCTTCGCGAGCGCAATGAATGCGTCTCGCCCACGCGAACTCACTGAAAACATGGCTCGCCATTTCCACAAAACGCAAAGCGTGAACGTACATCAGTGTTTTCATATGGGTAGCTTTGAGACTTCCCCTCACTAGAGAACTCAACCGCCACAATTTTCGTTGTTATTTCGTCGGTCACAATAATTATATAGCCGTCGCCAACCCAGCTCAAATCGCAGGCAGTAACGCTGGCGGCACGCATGATGACTGTGCCTCCGAGCAGGCCCAGCCAGTGGTCGAAAGTCTTCATTCTTGGGCAGGTTGCTGCGCTCTACGAAGGACACATGAATGCGGGAAGGATTGACGGGCGTGTGGTTTGGGTTTGCGGGTGGCGAGGCAGCGCATGGGGGTGGACGCGGTCTTTGTCATCCGGCCCGGTCGTTTCTTCGTACACGAACTGTGCAGCTAGGCTGCATCTAAATGGGTTGGAACGGACCGGAGGAGGAGGAACGCGTAAGGCAGACAATGGAAGAAGTACTTGTAAACGCACGCAAAGTGGTAAAAAACATTGGATGGGAGTGTATGGCCGAAGTAGGATGGTGATGGTGATACATCGGGCAAGGGGCGGGAGAGGTCGGAACTAAGATTGCGGTGGCATCCCTTAGTTTTGCAAGGCAGGATCCTTCGAGGGGGTGGTTCCGGACGCGTTGAAAACTTTGGGGGGGGCGGGGTCACAAGGAGCCAATGACAAGTTAGGAAATGCCTCTGAGTGATCCATATACTACTAAAAGAGCATCAAGTTGTATTGCCTCCCCAAGGGGGACGTGACAATTGTTTGAAGACGGTAAGCGGCTAGAAGGACGGAGAGGGCATTGCTGATACAATAGAAGGCACATGCTGAGGTCGAAGGGCCAAGGGAGCAGTACAGCATATGGCAAAAGGGAATCGGAGGTGTTTCAGAAGGGGAGGGAGACGGACTAACTGAAGGGGTGGGTCGGAGTGGTATCGAGGGCGTAGTCGGAGGACGGAGAGCGGCAGGGGCGAAGCTGGAACCGAAAGAGTTTACAATACATTGATCTAAGGAGGATACAAGGTGGGGCGAGGATGAGCAAGGGGTACCAGAGTCCATTATACTGGTGAAGGAAGGGACTTGGTCGTCGAAATACTGATGATGTGTGTGAGGCCAAGCATGTAAGATCCGGAATGGGAATTGACGGTCTTGGAACACGGGGAAGGAGAGTTCGAGAGACAGCCGCGGTAAGGGACAGAGTGGGGAAAGATGACGTGAGAAGGAATCCAGAGGGGTAGAAGAAATAGGCTTCGTGGTGGGAGGGTTTTATTTCCAAGCTTGGGCCACCAGCTTGATATGGTATTCTTTAGTGGGATTGAAGGCCGGGGAGGAGGGGACATCAACCCCCAAGCCCCCGTGCGTGTTTTGGCGAGGAAATACCGTAATAGTCGGAGAGATGGCACCGGTCGGAGAGATGGCACCGGTCGGAGAGATGGCACCGGGGTGCGATAAAAAACCCGAGAAAAAAACATTTAATTCGATTTACGCACCGGGGTCGGTGAGATCGCACCGGGTGCGATATCTCCGCCCGTAATAGTCGGAGAGATGGCACCGGTCGGAGAGATGGCACCGGGGTGCGATAAAAAACCCGAGAAAAAAACATTTAATTCGATTTACGCACCGGGGTCGGTGAGATCGCACCGGGTGCGATATCTCCGCCCCCCGAAATCCAAGATTGAGCTCCTTTTCAGCTGCCGGAATGAGGTATACCCGTGGGAAGGTGTCAGTGGCGCGATTTACGCACCGGGGTCGGTGAGATCGCACCGGGTGCGATATCTCCGCCCCCCGAAATCCAAGATTGAGCTCCTTTTCAGCTGCCGGAATGAGGTGTATGTGCGTACGTTTTACCCGTGGGAAGGTGTCAGCGGAGCGCCACTCCTTTACGTACGATTGGATGGTCGCGGTTCACGCGAGATGCCAGTTGTTATAATTTTTTTATTGGTATGGAAGTTGCCAACCGTACACTCAACCAAACACACAACACACAAGCCGCACCCTACCCCACGTTACGCAACCCGAAATTATTGTACTGCTGCGTACGTACTGGTATCCGTAGAAGAAGACCGAAACGAAAGCCGGAAACAAACAATTGATACCGTGTGTACTGGTACCACCTCAGATGGAAACGACACAGTTTGTTGCTGTCACGCCATAGCCAAACTCGCATCAAACACAAGACCACTCACTGCATGGAAAGCTGCTACGTACCACCCTACGTTGCCGTTACCGGTGTGCGTCCAACCAGCAACAAATGCTTCCTTTTTTTTACTCCCGGCCCCGTTTGCCGCGTCTCTGTCTTTCCGCCTACTGCTGTCGCTTCCTCTGTCTTCGGTTCGCTCGGTGTCTATCTGTGTCCTCCTTCACCTCTCACTTCCCCCCACCGTACGACCGTATCCTCTACCGTTACGAGCATCCCCCCCTCCCCTTGTGCTGTCTTTTTTGTCTCCCTGATACCACCATGTACCATTATGTTCGGCAATATAAGGGCCATTCGGATACAAGCGCGAACACCACACAATGGTCTCCATATTACCGAGCATTGTTTACTTTTGAGTTGACTATCTAAAGCCACACTCGTTTGACAGAGGAAAAATAAAAACGCGCACATATCTACGAGCGTTGCAAGGTCGTCCAGGTCTATCTAGTACATGGAGAAAAACGTGCCGCGTGCGAAATCAAAACCGTCACAGCCTGTTGGACGACGACTCAAACGGCCATCCACGTTGAACCCGACGACGGCGAAGTTCTTCGAACGAAGCAACCCAAACACCGAACAAACAAGCCACAGGACGCCAAAAATCTACCTGGAAGCAAAAAAACACAAATGACCAGCACGAAAAACGACATGAAGAGACACTCAAACGTAGCGAGCATGACTCAAGCAAGAACAGTCGGTCGAGTAGATGACGGCGACGTCCCGATTAGCTACCACCCAAGGAAGCAAGCGACGCTTGCACGACGGAACGAACGGCGGCCCCTGGGAGACGACCGGTTCTCAACGGGCGCCATCTCTCGACCACCAGAAGGGTGTTCCAGCCAAACGACAAACAACAACTCGGCAATGCATACATACCACAGAGGTCTGTCTCCCCGGCGGGCCTCTCCTTCTGAATATAACCACCCCGTTCGCGGATACTGGCCCCTTCCCTGCCTCCTCTTCCCGCCGCCCGTGACGAGTGCGGAAGGTGATGGGCAGGGCCCATGTGATGACAACAACATCGGACAGGAGGCGCTGCTGCTGTTGATGCCGTGTAAAACATCGTAAAACTCTAGAGACAACGAACACCACCTAATACGTTTGGGCCCACATGGCACTCACTGCCGAAGGAGACAGGGGAGATACACGTAAACTCCTAAATGTACGATTGCGGGTAATTACACATGAGGCACCTTCGTGCTTGATTACACTTTTTTGGTCGTAAGGACGTGGATGGAAAGACTCTAACAGGGGTGGAACGCCACCCGTTTTCGACAAGACAAAAAAAGTATGTCCATGATGACCCTGCAGAGGGCTCTCTCTGCCCCTCAATCTGGGGAACGGCATACGCAATAGGTGCGATGCGTTCAATGTATGTACCAAGTACTCGTGAAAATTAAGGAAACGAAACGCCTTCCCCGTGACAAAGAAAAATGTGGCGTGCGCTGCTAGTGGCTAAATCGCGTGGAAACCGTATGCGCCGGCCGGCATGCGATACCAGAAGACGGAAACGCAGACATCACCTCTACTCTGTCCGTGGTTTTGCCATGCTCAACACACAAGCAATCAACCGGAAGACGCCATTGTCGTCATCATCGAGGATGCTCTCTGCTCGCTCGGCGCAAAACACGGCCCTCTCGCGTTGGAGACACCATCCCCACAGCTATAAAACTCAGCCATCGTAAAAGGCGCAGGCAGGCTCGAGGCCCTCGCAGCCCCCTCCCCGCCGGCAAAATTGAACCAGCTGTGTTTTTTTGTTCTTGGCCGGTCAAGGACTACGCGCCGGCGTCGGAGCAGACAGAGATGTCCACGGCCTTGGTCCGGAGCTGGCGTCGGAAGTCGTCCGGGCTGCTGAACGGCTGACCCCCGTGGAAGGCCAGCAGGTCACCTTTTGCCATCTCGCACCACACCTGTTGGAGGGGGGGACGCCAGCAAGCACGTTGGTTGGGGGGGGGGGGGGGTACTCAAAATCCTGCATGCCCGAATCCTTTGACCATTGACCTCCCATCCCTACAAAGCCGGGACGGAACATGCCGGGTTCTCACCGGACCAGGCTCTCACATCACCAAACGCGAAACCCCCTGAGGTATTCGGCGAATCCCATGAAAGGTGAACTGCATCCTGCTAAGGGTGTTCGGCATCTTGTGCTTACTTCCTTGCGTGCGGATGACAGCTACGTATGACTTAATTTATTTTCTGGTGCTTCAGTTGTAAGCACTGTGTAACTGCCTCGAGGATGCTTGACCATTTTAACACAACGTGGTGCGATCATCCCCCGTTGCGCGGAGTTG